CTTCTTTTCTACTTACAGAGGGACCGTAAATCAATTTAACTATATTAGTCAAGTTTCCCTACAATATAACTTGCTTAATGGCAACTATAAACGGAATGTAGTACGCATCTTTTGTCCTAATCAGGACTTGTTAGTGTTCCTGGCCAAATTCTAACTAAGCACTCATTGCTTGAAAAGCATGAACATTATCGCTTCAGTTGTTAAGTCATTGGAGCTACCTGTTTTTCAAAAATCTATCTGTAAAACAAGTGTACCAGATCAGATAGACAAAAGACAGCCTAATCATCATTATCAGTGTATAGAAATAAGGGTTGAGACACTTGACATCGGTTGATGATTCTCTCATGTCATAGCTGCTCAATAGGGTGACCAGTTTAAATGGTACTTTAGGTGATCTGGCCTTTTAGTTAAGTTTGTAGAGCTCCGAGTCAGTAACCTGAAGGTCGGTGGTTTAACTTCTGCTTCAGCCCAGATTCTCATTTGACCTTCAATCATCACCCAGTATAAATAATTTGAAGTGTCACTATAAGAGTACTTTCAGCATTCACAAGAACAACGTCTTCTTCAAGAAACGGATAAAGAAGATTTTTCATGGAATCTTGAAATCATAACATCACTGAGGCCAGGCAGTAAATATTAGGTGAATGGCATGCTTCATCTGTAGGACATCCCTTTAAAATGATGAAACACATGAAATCATACTCACCAGTTTGTTTCTAGTTACGTTTTCCAGTTTAGCACATTCTCATTTGCATAAATTTCTGCTTCTTTTCTATTACTGATGCTTTGCATAGTGTATGCCGTATGCGTACTGGTTTACAGCTTATGCCTACTTTAGTTCAGTCCTTTAATACACTATCATACCGACTGACTGACTGATTGGCTGGCTGGCTGGCTGGCTGGCTGGCTGGCTGGCTGGCTGGCTGGCTGGCTGGCTGGCTGGCTGGCTGGCTGGCTGGTGGCTGGCTGGCTGGCTGGCTGGCTGGCTGGCTGGCTGGCTGGCTGGCTGGCTGGCTGGCTGGCTGGCTGGCTGGCTGGCTGGCTGGCTGGCTGGCTGGCTGGCTGGCTGGCTGGCTGGCTGGCTGGCTGGCTGGCTGGCTGGCTGGCTGGCTGGCTGGCTGGCTGGCTGGCTGGCTGGCTGGCTGGCTGGCTGGCTGGCTGGCTGGCTGGCTGGCTGGCTGGCTGGCTGGCTGGCTGGCTGGCTGGCTGGCTGGCTGGCTGGCTGGCTGGCTGGCTGGCTGGCTGGCTGGCTGGCTGGCTGGCTGGCTGGCTGGCTGGCTGGCTGGCTGGCTGGCTGGCTGGCTGGCTGGCTGGCTGGCTGGCTGGCTGGCTGGCTGGCTGGCTGACAATAATGTTGTCACTCATTAGGGCACTCTTCTACCAGAAGTGATTTACAGGTTAGCTGCATACTTACCGAAGACTAGATTTACTAAGTTAATGGCAGCATCACTGTAATTTACCAAGCATTTCAGTTCCATTTAACATAGTTGTACCATGTAATTATTTGAAGAGATAAGCTGTTTAAGCACATATGTAATATCGTGAAAACTTGTCCAGGAATCAAGTTGAAATTCATCACGAACTGACATCAGTTAGAGGATCATCGAAAACTGTGGAATACTGAACACCCATTTCGCGTAGTATAGGACTCAACTTGAAATTCATAAGTCCTAATAAATCTTCAAAGTAAATTATCATCCAGATGTTTTATAAGCCTGTGTGGTTAACAAACGTGACTCTCTGAGGTAGAGATGATGGTTCAACACTCTGCCAATTTTTATAATTCATAATTATCAGTTGGTCTGATCAGATTCCATCTATAACCAACACATGCAAAGATGACCATAGTACCTTACTTGCTAAGGGAACAAAAAGAAGTTGACTAGTTTCTTTGTGACCTTCGACTGTTTTTCATTCACAATAGTTACTGAATAACCTTCATTTCATGCTTTGTTTCTCCTCAATATCAATGTAATAATAACCATGTTCTCATTCATCGACTGTGAAATTCACCAATAATCTTCACTTGGTCACATCTTTTATCCATGAAGATGAAATAATTCAATTGTAAATGCTTTAAGACTTCATCATGTATGACTAAAATTGGACCATTGGATTCTTACTCCCTAGCTAACTCAATAGTATCGTATCTGAAGATCCTGGGTGAGTACTGATAATGAGTTTCATACAGAGGCGAAATATATGTCCAGTGCTTCCAGGTTATCAATGGTTCTTCAGACTATGTCAGTACGCATTGAACACCAACATGAAATATTCTTAGTTGTTACTGCCACTCTGAACTCATTTGCTGTTCCCATGACTACATTACTCTAACAATATTTGTGTGAATGTAAGATAACAGTTGCATAAATAGGCGTTAAGGGATTATAAGTCTGTGAGTATATCTGATTGTTCCTTGACTTAAATTTGACTTCTTTATATCAGAATAAACCAATAAGAAGGTTATTTTTCTTGGTAACATATAAAAAAAACCGTTTTCTTCGCCTAACACTTCCAAAATATCCCTTTCTATTAAGTGACCCCAACCTAGTTACGTCATAAGATGATTCCATTTTTATCCAACATCAAACACTCAGATCAAGTTTACAAAATGACTTGATGAAATTAGACAGTTCATAAACAAATGCCGCTCTGAATAATACGCCTTACAAGTATGATGACTAATATTATTATTATTATTATTATTATTATCAGTGTTAATAAGACATTTTAAGCAAGAATTTGTCATCAACTCACTTTCGGAACAGGCAACCATGATCAAGGAATAACTTTACAATTTCTAAATGTCCATGTTCTACTGCCACATGAAGTGGTAGACGTCCAACAGCATCTGGACAATTCATAGCACGCATTCCATGTGATGTGGCCAATAATTTTTCACATGTATGTAATCTTCCAAAATATGCTGCTGTATGCAATGGTGTATTACGTTCATTATCACGTTCGAGAGAAGATGCACCACG